GTTTGGAATGGGCTATGTGACAAACTCAGCTATCCTTCCAGTCTTAATGGGCAAGGTTTGTGCATTTAACCAATTGGAGCACTCTGTAAACATGGGTTATAAATTTTGCAAGTAAACTTTTACTGTCTTTTAATTACAGGGAGGCTTGATTATTAGTGATTCTTTGAATCATAACTCCATTGTCAATGGTGCACGAGGATCAGGAGCAACCATCCGTGTTTTCCAACACAATAGTAAGTTCTTGTGTGGTATTGAGACTGTATGGTTATGACTTGATTCTGAGGTGTCTAGTTTGTCCAATTTTAGTTGTTGAAACTGATATTTTGACATTACATATTAACTAGTGCAAAGTAATATGTATATATTTCTTGTTATCAGTGTGGTGCTTGTTTATTCCGAAAGCAAGTAATACTTCCCGGATTTAGGCTGGAATTTTTCTGCTCATGTTTTCCCTTTTGTTGTTCTACCACAGCACCCTCTCATTTGGAGGAAGTTTTGAGAGAACAAATTGCAGAGGGACAACCTAGGACCCACAGACCATGGAAAAAGATTATTGTCATAGTGGAGGGTATATACAGCATGGAAGGGGAGCTTTGCAAACTTCCAGAGATTATATCAATCTGCAAAAAGTACAAGGTTGTGGCAAGATGGTTCTTTCATTCTAATATATGCATTGAACTGTTGTATCATGAATGCATAAGAACGTTTATAAATATTTTACTTGGGGAAAAAGTCTGGATTTTACAATTTTCTGAGCATGATGATTTTTATACAGTAATAATATTGTTTTATATATTCTATCTCTTGCATATTTTTTCTTTTATGCTATTCTTAATGTTTTTGTATTGTCTGGCAGGCATATACATACTTGGATGAGGCCCACAGCATTGGAGCAGTAGGGAAAACAGGCAGGGGGGTTTGTGAGCTCTTAGGAGTAGATACCGCTGACGTGGATATCATGATGGGAACTTTTACTAAATCATTCGGATCATGTGGTGGCTACATTGCAGGATCCAAGGTTTGCTACTTTGCTTTTTAGTATCCTTGATTATATCCGTAATTTGTTGCTTAACATGTATAATATTACTGACATCTTATAGAGTTCTATAGGAGTCACCCATATACTGTTCCCGTCTCCCTTCATTAAAAAAAAAAAAAAAAAAAAAAACTCACTACTACTCTACCTTTTCAAAAAATGAATTGAGCTTGGAGCTTTTGTATTTTGGGGGTGGGGGTGAATGTTTAATGGACCATGAACTCTGAATTGCATTCTTATGTCCTTGAAATTTCTTCTTTTTTTGAAGGAACTGATCCAATACTTGAAATACACTTGTCCTGCTCATCTTTATGCAACTTCAATTTCACCACCAGCAGCAGAGCAAATAGTGTCTTCCATAAAGGTTATTCTTGGGGAGGATGGCTCCAGCAGAGGTGCAGATTTATATTTTTCATGTCTTATTTGTTTTAGTGTCTACCGTGTGGACTCTTTAACACTCCAAATCTCACTCCAACATTGATGATCACAATCTTAATTGCTTTTGTTCCCGAGTAGGTGCCCAGAAACTTGCACGAATTCGTGAGAATAGCAACTTTTTTAGGTCAGAACTGCAGAAAATGGGTTTTGAGGTTCTTGGGGATAATGATTCTCCAGTAATGCCTATTATGCTTTACAACCCTGCAAAGATCCCTGCCTTCTCACGGGAGTGCCTCAAGCAGAATGTGAGTGTACTATCACTTCATCTGTGATATAATACATTTGCAGTATATGTATGATTTATGAGGTGTTTCTTTTAGGTAGCTGTCGTGACTGTTGCTTTTCCAGCAACCCCACTGCTACTGGCAAGAGCTCGTATATGCATATCTGCTTCTCATACCAGGGAAGATCTAGTTAAAGCTTTGGAAGTAAGTTCTGATTCATAAAACACAATAGGAAATTATATTATTTGTTGCATGATAGGGAGAGAGCCGTGAAGGGCAATAGACATAGGCTATGATTTGTTTATTCCAGAATCAAAGTGGCGAATGCTAGTAGTAGATGAACGTCAGATCTTGTCAATTTTAAATGGGATCAAAGAGCGCATCTTATGAACTTATTTTGCTTTAAAATATACAATGCTTTCTTTGCGTATCTAGATCATAAATCCTGTATTGAATTGCTTTCTTTATTCAGGTCATCAGTCGGGTTGGCGATCTTGTGGGCATTAAATACTTCCCTGCTGAACCAAAGAAGCAACAACAAGAGGAGAGGATCAAGTTAGAATGAATGCAAATGATTTTAGCCTCAACTTCGGCAGTTGCAAGCGGCAACATGGGGATTGGTGAGCAAAGCTGGACTAAGAAACTCTAATGATTATTTCACCTTGGTATGGTTGGTACTCTTATATTTTAAGTTATCGTGTCATGAGCCCCATCGTTTATCTGGCTATGAATGGATCTAAAAGTGCCTCCCGCCCTCTCACAAATACAAGTTGTGATTTCTTATATCCTTACTGGGGCTAGTTCCTTTTTGCTTTTTAATTTAAATTTATGTTGTCTCTCAATGATTGTACAGATGTAGATGTAAGTTGTTCCCGTTTGTCTCATACATCTGAAATTTGCCCTGTTATTGGGAATTTCTATCAATTTGTAATGGTGGAAAATTTTTGGTATGTGGGTAATAATTTAATAGTTCCGATGGTGATTTTTATTTCTTTTTTTCTGTGAAGGATTTGATTTAGTATTTTTGACAACCGGCGAGACAGACTAGCTTATGCTAGAGCAGCATTGAATCCACAAACAACGTGATTACGTGAAGCTTATTGTGTTTAGTTCTCAAGTCATCCAAACTGGACATTTTGCGATGACAACTCATGATTTACTGGCCCTGCCAGCAAACTGAAAATGGAAAAACGAATAAAACTAATTCAGTGGAGTTGCACGAGGCGTCCCAACCTCTTTTATATTTAAGAGGCCAATTGAGATTCACGTATAGAGAACCATACAATTTACGATTACGGATTTAATGGGATAAGATGATGGTGACTGTAGCCAATTATAATCAATAATCTTGAAGAAGAAACCCATCTTGATTAAGCATAGAAACCGTAGATTCTCGTTGGTTAGTAATGCTGGGTAGTTTTTACTTAGTTTGGGAAGCATTTACCTACGGCCACATGATTTGGGCGAGTGTTGAGATTTGATCTAGTCGTTTAGATTTTTCCCAAGCGCATGGCTGATGGCTGTGCAAAATTCTTAAAAAGAAAGGTCAAACGACATATACTTACCCATAGTTTGCCGTAAATGACAAGTTGGTACCAAAAAAGTTTGAAAATGACGAACAGCCGATTCCTTTAGGTTCTGTTAGAAATTTCTATTAGCTAAAATACAACAGTATTATAAAAGACTTAAATGCCCTTACCAGTTTAATATTATAGTGTTATTACCTGAGGTGGCAGATTCACCAACTTGCCACATTAGGTACCTCACAATTTAAAAGAAAAATCAAATGTAAATCTTTGGCTCCCAAATTTTTCAAACCTAATCCCAAATTTCAAATAATATCAATCCCTAAACCCAAATTACAAACCCTAAATTTTGAATTCTCTCCCAAAATGCTTACTACCCAGTCTTCAAAATTGGTCATAGCAATCTCAGACATTTAGATGAATTTTTTTTTTTTCACATTGTACTAATTGCACCTCTTTTTCTCTTTCGTTCCCCCTTGTAGTCACTAAATCGGATCAGAAATTGATTGATGTGATTGGACAAATATGAGCTCAGAATCACAATCACAATCACAATCTCCTCCTCGGCGATGGTTATCGTGCATCAAGTGTTTTGATGCTCTTGGGTTATCTTGCTTTTGATTTATCTTTTTCAATTTGCAACTTGAGCATCAATCAACAAATTGTGTAACCAATCTGACGGATTTTATTTCTTGTAATATGTTAAGCGTAATGTGAATTAGATTATTGCATACGTTAGGTTATCTTCCTTTTGCAGTTGTAAATTTGTTATCCATATGGGTTTGAAATTTATAGCTAACATCTTGCTTGGCTCAAAATTTGTTGAGGGTTGACCGTTCGAGGATGTGACATCTCTGAATTGTTTATACTTGGAAAGCTGCATATCAAAGCTGACTACCAGGATTGATAATTTTGTTATATTTATGTGTGTTTTTACTGGCTGCATCATTTTTGTGCACACAATATTGAATACCAGAGTTTGTTTATGCTGTAGGAAAATTAGATATGTATTTAATAGGTCAGTTACAGGAACTAACTGGTTTGCTTTAGAGTGTTGTTGCCCATTGATTTTGGTTGTGGTCTATATGTGGTGTAATCATACAGAAGTTCATTTTATTCGAAATGATCTTAATTTATTTATGGTTTTCCAGAGGAAGCAGAAACGAAGGCTAAGAACATGAAAGAACAGATATGTAGATTGCTGCAGACGCAAATGCAGATTATCAAAATACAGTTTCTGATGTCATATCGTTCCTTTATTATATTAAGTCAGAGCGGATGTAAACTCATCGGAGGTGACTAACAATAGTGGTCAAAATAGATAGTTTCTGATGTCATATTGTTCCTGTGTTCGTTCGTAATGCAACATTGACTACCTTTTGATTAATGCATTTTGTTCGTTTGTACAGTGACGGTACATTGTTTCATATTGTATATGCTTTGTGATTAATGCATTTACTGTAATTGAGATGTGAAATGATGTTTTATTTATTTAGTCCCTGAATATTCATCCACTTGACTTTGTGATTGCTTAATTCTGATGGTCTCTTATTTATCTATATATCTCCTTTGCAATAGTACAACAGAATTGATGCATGTAGTCGAAGGTGAAGTTTAGGCTGTGCTTTGGCTATCATTAACGCTCATTTAGTCAATGCGTATTGACTTTTCTGCAGATCCTCCAAAGAAACATAACTGCAAATTTTCTTAATATATTATCCACGTATTTGCTTTGCACTCATTACATCGTAATTAACCCAAAAAATTCAGCACCACTTTCATTCCAAAAGATTCACACAGTTCAGTTTTTTTCCAAATTTAATGGGAGACGAATGAAATAGAAATGGCAGTTAAGCTTATCAGCCTATGCCACTTCCTCAAGCCAACATAGAAATGAACTCCTAGGTGTCAGCTAAAAGTAATCAAACAAATTGTAGTAGTTTTAAATACAAACAAATTGATAAACACTGAATAACAACAACCATTTTTGCCTAGACTTGCAATTCATCTTCACATCAGCTGCTCCACTTGTTTGCTTAGGAGATTTCAGTTCAGGACGGCACTCTCACAGGATAGGTCATAAGGTTTCAATTTTTTCCGTCAAAAACAAGCATCCAGAATTTCATCATTCAGCCTCTCACACACTAGACAGTTCTCATGAGGCAATCCAATGCCTTTTGCAGCGCAGCTAACACAATACCAACTTTTTGGAGGAATCTCTTTAACAGCTGGCTCAACACAGGAGACATGGTACATTGAATCGCAAACTAAACAATCCTTCCCATCAGCCTTCTCCTCACAGCGCCTGCAAGTGCAAACCTTATTCACACCACATGCTTCTGGCCATGCTATTTTAGCATCAGAGTTGGATTCCCCAGTAAAAAACTGCTATGTGGGAAAATAATTTCAATTGCTCAGGACCAGTTAAGATTGCATTTAGTATATCATTAAAGGAAACAGCAAAAAGATCAAACTGGGCAGTCTAAAATTTCAAGGTTCTTCCATCTAATAACTCTAAATTTCATCCTGATACTCTGCAACATTACTTTTTTATAAAGCCCAGTTATCTTACTTTCAATTTCACTGCAACACACAAATAAAAAGCACTTCAATACCAATACATTATATGCAATGCATCAATTGCAATTGTGATTATTGCAAAAACATTAGAGTGTGCGACATTGCAAGTCATTTGAAACCTTATACTGAATCTATATCCTCCAAAGCACCAAATGCAGCCTAAGCAATCTAATAATTTGTAGTGACAGTAAAATGCAGGTCTATCTGATTTCTGAGGATTCAATCATACATATTACCAAAACTAAAGAAGACAGCGAATCCAAATAACATGCATTTAGAAAGTTTACCTCAATTTTCTCTTCATCATACTTATAGCTTTACTGGGCCTCCAACCTGGAAGGAAAAAATTAGAGTAAACTGAGACAGAAGGGCTACAAGTAACCATAAACTGGAAAAATTGAAGTTTAGAACCAATGGAAGAGAACAATATAGCATATAAAGAAAAGTACTTAAGTACAGTAACATCAGTGAGTAGTCATACATGCTCATTGCAGGAAGTCCTAGAAAATTATTTTTCTCACAATAAAGCAAGTAACAATAAAACATTGAAAATGCAAAATCTTTTACTCACAATAGTACACCAATAAAAGTGGATTTCAAAAGTTGTTCGAAAGTTTAGATCCAACGATGAGTAAATAGCTTAATAGATAGAAGATGAACCAAGACCATCAAAAATATGTAGAAAATTATTTAAAGTAAATGGAAAAGGAGAATAATTGATTACCTCAACGCGAGAAGAGGGTTTGGTTTTGAGATTTAAACAATCTACAAGAGCAGCCCAGTTACTGGAACAGTTGTCAAAAGTTCCCTGGCCATAATACTTCTGCATCTGATGAACAGGTGAATAGCAGAACCCAAGAGCGTCGAAACACTTGATGCACGATAACCGTCGCGAGGAGGAGGAGATTGTGATTGTGATTCTGAACTTATATTGCCAATCACAACAATCAATTTCTGATTCGATTTAGTGACTACAAGGGGGAACAAAAGAGAAAAAGGGGTGCAGTTAGGGCAATGTGAAAAAAAAAAAATTTCATCTAAATGTCAGAGATACAGTTTTGAAGACTGGTTAGCAAGCATCTAGGAGAGAATTCAAAATTTAGGGTTTGTGATTTGGGATTAGGGATTGATATTATTTGGGAGAGAACTCAAAATTTAGGTTTTGAAATTTGGGATTAGGTTTGAAAAATTCGGGAGCCAAATGGGATTTACATTTGATTTTTCATTTTAACTGTAGGGTACCTGACGTGGCAATTTGGTGACGTGGCATATGAGGTGGCACTGTCTTCGTCTGCCACGTCAGATAATAAAACTAATTATATTAAATTATCAAGGGCATTTGAGTCTTTTTAAAATACTGTTATCTTTTAATTAACGAAAATTTATAACAGAATATGATGGAAAATGGTTATCTTTTTAAAACAATATTTAACTAATAATACTGTTTATCATTTCTAAACTTTTTGATACCAATATCATTAGGGCAATTATTTCTAAATTTTTTGGTACCAATATCATTACGGCAACTATAAGTAGGTAAATGTCGTATTCACCCTAAAAAGAAATGAGAAACCACAGGGCTAGGTAACAGCAAAAGACCAACAAGCTGGTCAAATTCTGTTACGGATATTTACCAAATAGTCAGCTGATACATGCATGTTGCTCGTTTGTTATTTATAAAATTACGTAATTATGCATGCATGTTCAATCATTTTCAGTCTTCTTCCATCATCTTAACCAAATTAAATAAAATTAAATAATTTTGAATCTTCGCTGGTTCTTTCTAAAATGGGTCTCTCTTTTTGTTCATTTAAACACTTCCGCACCCGCCCCCCCCCCCCCCCCCTCCCCACAAAAAAAAAAAAAAATTGGAAATCTGAGCAGAAAGAATTAACAAATCCTACAACAACAAGAAGGTAAGGGTATGATTTATTTTTTTGTAAATGATTATAATGGTTGTTTTATTTTTTTTTTTTTTTCCTTAAAGATTCGATACTCTTAGAATTTTAAGTTTAAACCTGAAATTATTTGCTCCTATTTTCTTAATCGTTTCAAGGGAAAATAAAATAAAAAATAATCGACAATTCTTTTGTTGTAGGAACATTTGATGTAGCTGTACTGGAAGATGGATAGAAGTAATTGTGTGTTGGTTTATTAGTAGAAAATACTATTTTTTTTCAATATATATAAATTTTTTAAATTTATTAAAGTAATTTAGTACATAAATTAATGCCACTGGTTAAATCAATTGATTCGTTACTCAATAAATACATTACCAAGAAGAAAAAATGAGATTCGAGAAGATTAATCTCGTCACTAGATTTGGTCATTTATTATGTTGAATGCAAATAAATACGTATAACACAAGAAATCAAGTTCTCTCATCAAAGGATTATCACACTTACAAAAATTGTCTCTGGTATGAGCATATACACAGTATATAATCTCCCTCTACGTAAAGCTTCGGAGAAGCATGCTTGAAAGGAAGACACATAAATAGCGGTTTTCCCTCTCCCATCTTCAATGAAAATTCAAAACCACTCATCTAGACAGAGAATGTAAAACTGTGCAAGTGTGTGTCGTTTTAAGTACATGGAAGGAAAGACGAAGAGTCCAATAAAACCCAACCCAAAACGCCATTGATTTCTGTTGCATTGTATCAGAGCTTTTGCAACACCTGTTCTTTCTTCTACCTCCCATTCGTCACTTTCTTCTTGGCCATTCCCTAACACAACCCTAAAGCTAAAACCAACTCAACCCGAGTTAAACTTCTTGCTTTTCCATTTTTCTACTCTTTACAGTTAATGTAACATTTCACAGAAATTTAGACTATATAATAAGAACAAAGATCTAAAACCACCATGAATCCATGCACAACATTTGTCACTCAAAACAGGCGCTGTGATCAGAAAACCCTAACCCTACTTTGTCATCTAAACATTTCACCCTAAAACCCCACTACCCATCACATGTACATTGTATTATTAACCATCATTATCACAACAGTGGTGATAATACAGGGAATAAATATAATTATAATGAGAACAAAAGATGGTAAAAGAAAGAGTGAATGCAGAAGTCACAAATGTCAAGAGAACCAGGCACTGCATTCACCAAAGTCTTGCTAAAAATAGAAAAAGAACACCTTTCTCTTTAAACCAAACCCCCATTTCGTGATTGCCGAGCGTCCATCACCGGTAGTTTCGATCTGCACAGCCAGTGATCTCACTGAAATCTAAAGCAAAATAGTGATTCTTTTCTTTTTTTTCCTTTTTTTGAGCGTTAGGTTTTTAACTTGACCAATTGACTCTGGCCCAAAAAACCCTAATGATGATGGACCAAGAGCCTCTTAGTGTTCATGAGAAACCCGAGGCCTCTGCTTTCATGGCAGGTGTTGAGGGTGTCACTGTGAAGGGGGACAATACCCGTTTTAGATCCGATCGTGGCGGGTCAACCCGTGACCTTGTTGCTGCTGTGACCAGTCTTGGTGTCAACAGGAAGAAAAGGATGGCCAGACAGAGACGATCTTCTTCCTACAATCTTTTCTCCTTTGCTAATTCTTCATCTTCCTCCACCTTGCACGTGCCTCTCACCACTCTCCCCGCACGTGTGAGTTTTCTCTCTCTCTTTTTATTTGTAAAATGAATGTCAATAATTCTCTATAATTACTGACTAATTTTACTCAGCTCAGCTGGTTTACCTTCAAGCCGATCTTAATTATAAATTTCTTCATTGGAAGGTGGGATCTAGTAGAACTTATTGATTTCTCTAAACTCGATTGATCGAATAGTGTCCTGTGGTTAATTGTCTGTTTATTATTTTGAGTTCTTTTATTTTTATTTTTAGCTTTGTTTCCCTGCAGCTCCTTGTTTCAGTGAATTTTGTAATTAAATTGTATTTTTTTTTTTAATAAATAGAAAAATTTGCTGCCTTTGGTTAGCCTAGATTCAAGATATAACTGTAGTTTCAACGGTTTGTTATTAGGTAATTTTTTATTGCTCTCTGTTTATATAAACTTATCATTAGTTACATGCACAACAGCTCGGGGTTTTGAGATCTCTATATTTTATATATATTTACTGGAAAAAAGACAAATTGTAGGACGGAGAAGAGGTTAATATTATAATGAATCACAATTATTGTTAATTAATGATGTTCTTACTTGTATTTGCTGGTGGATTGAGTTTAAATTAGAGATAATTATTATTAACTAATTGCAGACAGCAAATAGAGCAGCTATATTTATGTTAAAAGAAGAGAAAAACACAGGGATTTAGTTGACGTTTATGATAGAATCACTGTGGAAAGAAATGAAGAATATTCCTCTTTACTTTTTTCTTGGTCTTATGGAAATGCATATATCTCTAATTTATTTCTTTGATCAGTATGTTATAGTTATACTGCAAGAATTGCATACAACTGTATAGAGATTAGGGAGTAATGCAACTGATATAAAGACCTTCCCAATTCCATTTTAATTTCAATTGCACTTGACATTTACTTGTGTGTATCGTAGTGCAGTAATATGTTATATATTTAAATGATATTATGCCACTTTTCAAGAGGGTAATCCTTTTCTTGAAATTTTGCCATGTCAGATTGTTAGTATACTTCCATGATAATCTGTTTGTGGCAAGTTCAATTCGGGTTCCTTTTTATCTGAGGGTGGTGATTATGTAGGACTCATAGTCCTGTTATACTTTGGTAGCCAGTATGCTGCCTGTGCCGATCGCAATTTAGAGTAACGCTTTTATTTGATGTTGACTAGAGAATACTCTTTTCTGATTTAGGTCATTGATCCAAGGAGGTTGAAATTCCTTTTCCAGAAGGAGCTTAAGAACAGTGATGTCAGCTCCCTCAGGAGAATGGTACTTCCAAAGGTTTGAATGCGACTGATTTCTAATTTCTTGCATTCTCAAATCTGATAACTAAGAAAATCAGAAGTTCATTTCTTGAAAATTCTTAATTTGTTTGTAAAACCATCTATCAATGGCAATAATGGATAGCAACTTCATTTCAGAAAGCAGCTGAGTCTTACCTCCCCATCCTTGAGTCCAAGGAAGGGATTCTTATCAGCATGGATGACTTGGATGGTCTGCATGTGTGGAGCTTCAAATACAGGTTCGAGTTAATTACTCCTGTTATCTCCTTGATGGCAGAAAGATACTAACCAATTTGCTATCAAAGGAACTGTCACCTATCTATATATTTGACAATTGTACAGCATAAAAGGAAAATTAATTGCAAACAATGTAATATGGTTTCGAAAACATCTATGCTAACTAAATAGTCTTGACCCCAAATGTCAGTCCTTTACTTTATTAGATTCGCTAAGGTAATTACATACCTTTCTTATTGGTAAGCAGGTTTTGGCCTAATAACAACAGCCGAATGTACGTACTTGAAAATACAGGTAACTATATTGATCTGTCCTACTTTAGTTACCTTAAATATTGATCTGTTCTACTTCTACATATAAAACAATTATATATGCTCAATATTTTTGGAATTTTCTCAGGAGGCTTCGTAAAAACACACGGGTTAAAGCTTGGAGACTTTATCATAGTGTACCAGGATAGTCAAAATCAGAATTATGTATGTTATGCATGCCACCCTTATTTTCGATATGGCAAAATGAAGCTTCACTTTATTATTTAAGCAATTTTTCTCTTGATATTTTGGCAGGTCATTCAGGCTAAAAAGGCTTCTGATCAAGATGTAATATATACTAATTTCACTAGTACTGATGTCAATGACATGTTTCTTCACGACTATGAAGTAAACCATTCGAGCTCCATTTACGCAGATTATCCTAACAGTGACGACCCAGCCATGTCGTTTATTTATGACACGACGGCCATCTCAAATGACTCTCCACTAGATTTTTTGGGTGGATCACTGACCAGCTACTCAAGGATTGGAACTCTGCAGGAAAGCTTCGGGTCTGTTGAGAACTTATCTCTTGATGAATTCTAGTATAACTTATTTTGTGATGTCCTTTTTTATGTTCTGTTAAAAGAATAGGGCAGTACCTTACACGAGAAAGGGAGCAACTTTGTTTTGGCCCTAAGCAGTACTCCAGCTGTTTGTTGTTGTATGTCAAAACTCAAAAGTAGAAATGTAATAAAGAGCAAGTGGAAAACTTGCAACATACACATCCTCTGTTATTCCTCTTCAAGAAACTAATTAAGTTGATAATACTACTAATATTATTGTTATAGTTCAAGAGATTTCATTAATTATTGCCTCATTTTTGTTTGATACATACAACTCGTGTAAATATTCTCAACAACATAGTCCAAGGAATACGAATTAGACTAAATTAAAATATTCTTAGGATGTTGGCATTACAACAACAAGCCCGTCTAGCTCAGTCGGTAGAGCGCAAGGCTCTTAACCTTGTGGTCGTGGGTTCGAGCCCCACGGTGGGCGCATTAAGTTTTTTAATCAATCCAAGGTTAATTTGGATGAATTTTATTTTATTTTAATTGAAATTAGACGTATTGTACATTAAACATAAGAATATTAGATTGATATTACATATTTGATGATTATTATTACGACTATATTTATCAAAAAGAATAAGAAATAGAACTAGTAAGTCACATTTAACATGAACGAAGGACATTATGTGAAATCTAAGGAATCTTCCTAATATAATTTCCTTGTTCGCAAAGGCCAAATAACATGGCAAAATGGCTTGTAGAGATGGGCGTGCCCCTTGGGGATCTGTCCCAACCTGGCCTGAATGGGCCGAGGAATCTCAAAAAAAAAACGGGGATGACAGGTCGGGGAAGGGGATAGTGCAATCCCCGGACCGCCCTGTCCCTGTGGAGCTCGGTCGCCCAGTTTTTTTGAGAATTTTTTTTTTTTTTTTAGTTTCCTTTACAAAATTTTATATAAAGTTAAAGTTTAAATCATAATTTTAAATAATGTATCTAAATTTATGATATATATTTTTATAATATTTTCTAATGTTTGTATTAAATTTATAGAAAAATAATTTAAACGAGGGAGTTTAATAATTAAATATATGTATTATTACTTTGTGAATTTCACAAAATAATAATATATGGGACATGACCCAAAATAAATTTAATTAGATTATTACAATTTACAAACCAATGTAAGAATATATACAATTGCTTAACAACTTACAAATTACACAAATTCAATTATCCTTGTAATTAATTAATTGATCGATTAAATATGATGTTAAACTTAATCAAATAATGAGATTTGTCCCTTTCACAAATGGACTAATTTTATTAGTTGTAGTGGAGACAGTGTTTTATGAATTAATTCACCAGTTTACCTAGTAAATTATGTTAAGATTGAATTTATCTATTTTAATTTCATGAAAAATTAATTAATTAACATGGCTAACTAAACCTAAGCCTTCATACAATTGAATAACTAAGCAATTTACCTAATAAATTATATTAAGATTGAATATAACTATTGTATTAATTCTTGTTGGAGTTGTCTGAGTACTCCAGGCAACAATCCAACATTTTAACTTTCCGTAAATGGGCCCTGACTTTTTCCAGTCATTTAATGGCTCCTCCCTGTAGTTCTTTTGAATTTCAAATAGTATTTAAGATTCTTAGTTTTCGATTATCTAATAAATCACTTAATGAAAGTAGAGTATCGTTCCAACTATTCAGAAATTAGATGACATTTAACTTTAACAAGTTGTTAAGAAATTGGAAATATATGGTTTACAAGCTTTTTGAACTGTGAATGACATAGACGCATAATTGTAGCAATGTAGCCTGAATGATGATTATATTTTATTGCTTTGAAATCCATGAGTATGTTCCAATTTTTATCAAGAAATTGTTATTCACCATATTCATATCAATTTGTTTTTTAAATCTTAATTTAAATTTTATAAGAAATTGTTAGACTTTTTATTTTCTTATCTTAAATTATGCATTTTTAATGAATTAAGTTAATTAACTATTGAAATTAAACAGTCAAATTGTTAAATATAATATTTATCAATGTATTAGTTTTTCATAATTAAAATAATTAATTTTATGAAAGTTTTGATTTATACAGGATAAAAATCCCCGTGAAACCTCGGTTATTGGGACGGGGACGGTCATGATTTTGTCCCCGCGGGGCGGGGATGGTTATGAGAAAAAGCCCCACCCACGGGGCCGGGCCGGGGATGGTCCTCGGAGAGGGGCCCGGGGCACCCGCCCCGCGCCCATCTCTAATTGGCGTGGCTTCATTTGTAACTTTACGGGAGCCGAATAGATATGGGATTAAAACTTTAAAAACACTATCGTATCCAACAAAATTTATTTACAAACAACCAGCTCCATTATTAATACTCAAAGAGAACGAGCTTGTGAATATGGCATCAAGATACTGGGTTGTCTCTCTTCCAGTACAAAACTCACCCACTTCTCTCTGGAATCGATTACAGGAGCAAATCTCCAAACATTCTTTTGACACTCCTCTTTACAGGGTAACTCACAGATCTGATCGTCTTTATTCATTTTAATTGTATTTCATTCATTTTTTTTTAATTTATTCGTCTTTTATTCAGTTCAATATTCCTAATCTCCGCGTTGGAACCCTCGATTCACTTCTTGCTCTCAGCGATGACCTATTGAAGGTAATTATTACACCCAGCCTCTTAATTTTCTCATTTTGTTTTTATGTTAATTTTTTTCTTGAATTTAAGTACAAATTGTATGTTATCATTTCTTTGTGATGTTCGAATCTTATGAATATTTAGATCTATAGGTTCTGTGCTATAATCACTTGAAGGAAAAGTATCATATCGTTAGTTTAATTTTTGAAAAATCTGCAACAATCTATTGATTTTGGATTTTCTATTTTAGATGTTGGTTCTTTACGTTTACAGTTAATTAGATCTATAGATTGTGTTATAATCAGTTAAGGTAATTCTCCTCTTTAGTTCTTTGGTTGAGTATTTAGTTGTTTGCTTTATTTTTTTGAGGGCGACATAATGTATTGGATTTCGGCCTTATATTGTACTTTGTAAATTTACTAGTTATGTTTGGTTTGGAATTTAATCAAATGTGCAGTCAAATAGCTTTGTTGAAGGCGTGTCTCACAAGATCAGGCGACAGATCGAGGACTTGGAGAGGGTATCAGGTGTGGAGAGTAGCTCTTTGACTGTTGATGGAGTACCAGTTGATTCTTACCTCACTAGGTAAATCTAAGTTTAGTAAATTTAGCATGAACTTAAGGTCCTAGTTTGATTGTTTATTTAATGTCTATGCTATGTGCTGCATTTGGTAAATTGATTGTTATTTTTTGTTAGTTGGTTACCATGGTTTCTGTTTTACGTGTGATTTGTTTGTTATGTGTTAAATTTAATGGACTGGGTTTGAATTATGGGTATGGGGTTTCAATTGTAAGAGTAACTTGTGTTTATTATGAAATGCTTTTTGGTTTGTGTTGGAAGGTTTGTTTGGGATGAAGCAAAGTACCCAACAATGTCACCTTTGAGGGAAATTGTTGATGGCATTCATAGTCAAGCGTCAAAGATTGAAGATGATCTTAAGGTATTTTTCTTGCAAGTAATGCTACAATTACCGAGAGGAGCACATTGAATTCATGCACCGAATGATGTGGCGCAATCCTGACCGTCGATTAATATTAATTCATAATTAATCGACGGTCAAGATTGCGCCACACCATTCGGTGCATGAATTCGGTGCGCTCCTTTCGGTAACTGTATTATTTTCTTTTTTCTTGCTCATGGGTATCTTATTGGTTAATCAAAAAATTTTGGGGCGACAATCTACATGTTAATAGTCAGTTATTTGTTCTTCATTTCTCTACAATCACTCCGTGACTGTGATGTTAGATACAAGTTCATTGAGCTGTTCATATATTTATGAATGTGGCTGCTTGCTAGCCTAGTTCTTCAGCAGTCAAGAAGAAGTCTTCCTTTCTGCTTACAACTGCAAAAATTTGAAAAAGGAAAAGGGTTTCTTTTACTTAATTCTGTGGGTTCTCTGTGATTTTTCCACCAGAGAAATAAGCCTCATTATGGTGGCAAGTTAATAGCTCTTTATATGTGTTTATTGAATTGGATTTTGGGTCCTAAACTTTTGTTCACATATTTTTTTTAGGTTCGTGTTGCTGAGTATAATAATGTGCGCAGTCAACTCAATGCTATTAACAGGAAGCAAAGTGGAAGGTATTGATATTATTTTAGTCTGGTTTTAACGACTTTTTTCTTCATTAGCTAATTTTTTCTATTCATATTTCAGTTTAGCTGTTCGTGATCTCTCGAGTCTGGTCAAACCAGAGGATATCATTACCTCTGAACATCTTGTAACGCTCCTTGCAATTGTCCCCAAGTATTCACAGAAAGATTGGTTGGCCAACTATGAAACATTGACTAACTATGTGGTAAGAATTGCTTTGTCTGGCTGTATATTCTGATGCCACCTATTACAGCCATGTGAATACCAAGTGATGTAGAATGCTTCCTTGCTGGCTAGTTGAGACAGGTTTTCTGAAGTGAATTTTTAGTCCATTGTATTAATGGAGTTGTGTGAAACAGCTGAGTTTAAATTTCTTTTTGTTTTTATTGTTACAGTCTCAGTAATGGAGCTAAGTTTTTAATTTTTAGGTCCCAAGGTCCTCCAAGTTATTGTACGAGGATAATGAATATGCTCTTTACACTGTCACACTATTTGGCCGTGTTGCAGACAATTTCAGAACTGCCGCACGTGAAAAGGGCTTCCAAGTGAGTTTACTTGCAAGTTGCATGTGTTTCATCTGATGCATGAATGTTACAGCAATGTCAGCCTTCCATTTTATACTCTATGAAATTTACTCTTTGGATTCTCGTTTTAAGTGTTTGCTAAATACAACTGCACTGATATCTTGCAATATTATGATACAGTGTTGTTCAATGTTTGAGATGATGGAGGTTTCATTTTTTATTATTATTATTATTATTATTATTATTTATTTTTTCTTTGTTTTTCAGATTCGTGATTTTGAATATAGTTCAGAAGCACAAGAAAGTAGAAAGCAGGAGTTAGACAGATTGGTTCATGACCAGGATAATTTGAGAAGCTCCCTTTTGCAATGGTGTTATACCAGTTATGGGGAGGTATTTTCTCCTTTGCTTTCGTTTTAAATTCAGTTCATGAAAATTAGTATGGGACTACAATTTAAGCAAGAAGAAAAATGGTTGTTAATGCAAATATCCATCATTGTCTTACTATGGACAAAGTTATATTTTGGGGACCTAATTAAATTGTTGGAAATGAATGAGGTGGTAATCATTTTTTATTCTGTTGAAAGAATAGAATAATGGTTTGTATTTCAGTATTATGCATTTATTATTATTATTATTATTATTATTATTATTATTATTATCGCTATCATCACTTATTCTTACCCTAGGCATATCTTGTAATTTAACAGCAAATTTATGGTTCACTTGGTTGTTTTTTGGCTTGCAGGTTTTTAGTTCCTGGATGCACTTTTGTGCTGTACGTGTTTTTGCAGAGAGTATTCTGAGATATGGGTTGCCACCATCTTTCTTGGTAATTGAACTCTTTTATTCCTTTATGGGTTTATGACTGGCCATAGGCTTTATGACTAAGCATTGACTGTTGAGATGATTTCAGGCATGTGTTTTAGCTCCATCAGCAAAGGGTGAAAAGAAAGTGCGCTCAATTCTGGAAGAATTGTGTGACAGTACACACAGGTATTCAAACTGAATTCATGGCATTACGTATATGGACCTTAGTAATCTAGAAAACTATCTGGAGTCAAAAGACTTATTCACTGTCTTTACTATCTGGGACCAGGTCCATCTGATCTGGATACAGATAAAGCCTTTATTCACCGCCTTCAGAATAACGGGAGACAATCCAATCCTCAAGCTCTCTTATTCCAAGTTACCAAATATACATTCAACAAGTTCTGGAAAAATATTTTCAGTCCTTTGTTAATTGTAGGCAGCAATTTGTTAGCATCTAAAAAAGTAGTTTTTTAGCTTTCAGAAGCAAAAATCCAGCATTTGCTTACGCTTTTAAATAAATTACCAAAGACTACCTAATAATAAGCATGGCAATTTAAAGTTACCTACATCTCATATGTAGATGAAAATATCTTTGCCTCAAAATAATTCCTGCTCTTTGTTCATCTGTGTATCTTAACTGTTCTATAGTATTTATTTTTGCTGATATTGTTCCTTTGATATCTGATGCAGCACATTTTGGAAATCTGAAGAGGAGGTGGGACCAATGGCTGGTTTGGGAGGTGATGCTGATGCTAATCCATACGTCTCATTCACAATCAATCTAATCTGATTGATGGTGAGTCCTGGTTCCATGTCTGTACTAAATTCGGCGTCCAAGACAGCAATAATAATGGGGCAGGAGTTGAAGATAATGTATATTAGAATTAATAACTCGATTCTTTTGTTGTTTACTTTTGATCTCAGCTTCGATGAGGACTCAGCAGAGTGGGGGAGAGATCTTGCCATACGAGATTTGTATTTTAAGCTATATTTTATGAGGTTTTACTTTCTGTATCTAGCGAGTGTTAATGCCCCTTCAATTTATTATGTTACGATGATCTGCAAGCTTTGATGCATTTTCTCGATTTTGTTTGATCTTTGAGTTTGAAATAATACAATGCAGCCAGCAGCATTACAGTTGTAGACGTGTTTTGCCATGTACCTAACCATCTGTTTTTTAAGTAATTGTTAACTGGGTAGATGGTTGGGGAACCAATGCTAATTTTAGTCTCTTTGGTAGTAGTGGCTATAATGATATCATCCCAGTAACTATGGCCTATGGGCAAATAAAGAACATCAAGATTAATAATTGATTAGTTTTCAAATTTTTATCTAGAGGATAATTATTAAGTAATAATTAAAATTTATTGTCCATAAATAATCAAATCATCTGTAAAGATTTTTAATTTTCAGAATAATTTTTACAAAGCTTTTTGATACGAGCAGTGTCGGGACATTACATATCAACAGTTAAAAAGTGTTCCAGAAGATACATGTACTGAAAAACAATATTAGAATTTAGAACCAAGTATCATCAGTCAATTTTAATTTTATTAGATCCAAGCCGGATGGCCATCCTTAAGCACTTCAAATGACATCCAGCTAACAAATAAAAGGCAAAGCTGATGGCAAACGCAGGACTTGCAAATACATGGGATGGGACTAACTAAAAGATGAAAATAATTAGTAAAAACCCTCGAATGGGATCCAATATGTAGGAATCAATTTGTTGAGGTCTTCGAATAAGCATGCTTTTGAATAGAAACACAATATCTTGACAAGAATATAATAGCCAGGTCAATCCCCCTTGACTGCCCCTTATTTTGGTTGCCTATTCTTGATGGGGGAAACCTGTGATCTTAACATCCAAGTGAAAAATTTCATATATCATCTAACTACAAAAAAGGTTTTAGAAATATTCTAGGATGTAAACAAAACCATCCTCGGCAAAACAAATAGTGATCAAAACAAGTTCTGAATGTAAAAGAATACTCCGACTTGAGACCACTCACGCACCTTTAGCAATCCTATGTTTATTAATTCCTATGAAGAAGTTCTACCAGATTCCACAAAACGACAAAAAATATTCCATTGATCATTCAATGTTTTACACCTTTGCAAGCTCAGTTGCAGCAGTGGCAGCAGCAGCAGGAGCAACTCCACCAGTGGTTGGCCTGAAGATTTATGTTACTCCCGTTAGGATTTAACTCAATAACCAAAATAATAATAATAATAAACAGAAGAATAAAGAAAAGAACTTACAGTCCCACAAAGACTTTGAATGCATCATAAATTCCCCATTGGGCACCAGTTAGCGTTCCAATCATGACAATACGGAGAGGAAGTCCACGTGTGAAAAGCCCCCACAAACCTAGCTTCTTCACAGCCTACAGAAAAGAAACACAAAAGTAAAAACAACAACTGAAGGAAATAATGAAGTGTGAAAATAATCATGCAAAAGGAATAGCACTCACATCACCAACAGTTGCCCCTTTAGCATTGTTGAGGAAAGAGACAAGATTGTCAGCAGGATGAGACACAATAGCACAGAAGACACCAGCAACATAACCACCAGCAAAACTCACACCAAGTTGCAAAGATTTGCTGCACTGGTCCTTTGGAGCGGGGATGGAATACTTATAGATCATCTCAACAATGGTCTCAAATGAAGCAAATTTCATCATTGTGTCTGCAAAATAAAACATCTCTCCCTTAAAAACACCAAGCAACCACTAAAACCAATGCATAGAGTCAATGATGGCCCGCATTGTAAACTAGTTAAATGCATACTGAACAAAGTAATGGCGGACTACAATAATTATTGAGTGCAAAGTTACCAGAGAAATGTGAACTTTAAATGTCAAATAAAAAGAACAGTGTGAAGCTTGGGAAGCACATTAGCAGAAAAGCATATATAAAAATATTTAAGAAAGCAAAAGGGAATAACTCAATGGTAATAAGTCATGGAAATTAGTTAGACTGAACCTCAACTAAGGTTGTTAAGTTTCAAAATAATAGTTTAATTCAGAAAAGGAGACTCTAGTAATGTGCAATTGCTTGTCCTGATTCTCAGAATACAAAGAAATGCAATATAATAACAAATAGAACACAAGCAAACAATAATAAATATTGATTATGATGTAACTACATTAACAATTCATATATAACAAGACTTGATAAATAGAAATGTAGAAATGCCAACTTACATGGAATCTGACGTCCCCAGAGAGGAACAAGACCCTTATACAAACTGCAATAATTAAGAGAATTGGTCAGAGATACATTCCAAAACGAATTAGTTTGGATCACTAAGTAACCAAATGAACAGGCAGCATACCCAAGAGCACCCTCAGATCTGACAAATTTAGGAAGTCCATCAGACAGACCTCTGGCGAAGCCAGGCTGAGTTTGAACACGAACCTTCACTGCCTCAAAGGGGCAAAGTGCAATATCAGCAATCACCTCAGCAGATGCAGAGCCAGCAAGGTAAATTAAAGTCTTATACTTAGTAGCAAACTCTGGACCAGCAAGGTCAGAGTAGTACTTCTTGAAAAACTCATAAAATCCAAACTTGCAAGCTCCCTGACCACTGTAACCAATGAGGGTAGGTACCCATCCCCTGAAGAAGCCCCTCACTCCTTGCTCCTTGAGGAGAACTCCAAAACCAGAAGATATGCTTTTGTACTTTGCAGGGTCAATCTGAAAAGACAACAATCTTGATGTTAGCTTATAACCTCTAGTGTAATTATATTAATAGCATATGACACACCACATTTTTTACACAAGCGGTAATGCTATAAATAGGAGGCACTTCAAGAATGACACGTAGATTAAATTTCAAGTATTCAAATTGCTTTGATTTAATGATTTGCAGCTTATGTAAGATTAAAGAGCTATTGATCCTAGCCCTAAATCATAAAACTTCTATTCATTGTTGAGAGATGATATGAAATAACACGAAAACTAAGAATTCCACGATAGTTATACATTAGTAATGACGTAAACAAAGTTTTCTAATACTTCTATTAAATGTACATAATGAAAACAATTTTCAATACTAAAATCAAGAGCTCTCCAATCAAATTATAGCTATGCTGTATCAGGTGGCATGACAATTCGAGCAATCGGGTACTAAATATCAGTTGATCCTATAATTTCAATCTGTTGTAAAATACCACACAGCCAAACTCATCCTTAACAAACACAATTTCAAGTACAATCAGCCGGAGCATATCACCAAAAGCTTGAAACAATCCAACAATCCAAAGCAAGAAAAACTTTTCAAACATATATAACATAGCAATAACAAATCAGTCAGAAGTATTAGATCCAGCAATAAACGAAGTTCGGAAATAAAATTCAATTAATATCAAAACTAAAAATCGCAGATCCAATCGTATGATAAATTTAAGTATTTAACAAGCAAACCGTATTTAATATAGAAAAACGTATAGAGAATAGATCCAATCCGGCTACAAATCTAATACCAAAACGGTCAAGAAGGAGCAAAAACCACACTAAAAGCCGTAGATCTGTAAGAAAAGCACCTGCATATTACACTTGACGAGATCGAGAGGAGTGACGGCCATGTGAGTCAGTCCACAGCTGAGGATACCGCCGGCAGTACAGGCGGCGTAAAATGCAGGAGAGTACATCTCAATCTTGCCAGGCTCGCTGGGAGCGGGCACAAAGAAGCTCCGCCTGGTGGAGGAAGGGGCTGATGGCGCGGCAGGAACATCGACGAAAGGTGTGGAGTTAGCAAAGGATTTCTGAGGAGAAGAATAGGAGTAGAGGAAGCTTGGTATGAGAGAATTTCTGGAGGATTCTGAAAGAGACATGATTGAGAGTTGAAATTTTAGATGAAGAAGCGCGAACGAGTGAGGGAGAAAGAGGAGAGAAATTAAGGGAAAGAAAGGGTATGATTTCTTTTTCTTTTTCTCTTCTCTTCCTGTCTCTCGTCGCCAAATGCTGGTGCTGCTTTCTTATGTTAGAAACACCGCATTTCCGCTTTTATTGGCCAAAAGGCCCAAAACCCTCGCGTCATTTATACGGGATTAATTTACCCTTCAGTTTTAGAACTAATCACGATTCTGCCACTACAAATCCTTCAACAGAAACCATGGTGCTTGTTATTTATTTGGTCAATAAAGGGCTTCACTAGTAAGCAAAGGTTTTCTTTTACCAGTATAATTATCTAAGTTATGAATTAGATTAGTCTGCATATGTATTTGAATGGTAATTATTTTATGAGTAGTTAAATGTTAAACGCATGCATTAAACAGAAATTATTAGCATAAAAATTAACAGAAAAATCCAAAATGGACAACCTAGTGGCATGTGGGTAGATTTTTAACGGGGAATTGAATTATTGAAAGCGGTTTCTGATTAATTAAAAGAGGGCAGCTGACCACACCTAGTTGTGGCCTACTCCTACACATAATTTGGGAACATCAACATGGCTATTGCCTTTTTTATACATTAAAAATTTTCAACTTCATAATAGCCAAATTACAATTTTGGCCGCGTTGAATTGATATTATACACAAATGTATGTTTACTCTTGACTATGTTGATCCTAATTAATATTTTCTAATAAGGTAATAATACACTTATAATCAAATCTCATAAAATTTCTCTAACAATAAAGAAGTGAAAAATAAAAAATAATCAATTTATAATAAGTATTATTTATAAAATTACGAGTTGATCAATTACGAACTATAAGCTATTACTAATTATAAAATTCTTAATCTTATTTTGAACTGAAATACACAATTTTTACAGATATATTTATAAATGTATGATCAAAATCTAAAATAGATAAGATTCTGAATTCAAATTTAGTGGGATTTTTATGCCTTACCATCAACCGAATTTTGCAAATACATTAAAATATAGTGTATCATACAAAAGATTACGTTACGCACAAAGCCAATATAACATAAAAAATAAAACTAAACTAATATGATTGGATTATGATGCAGTAAGTGTCTAAATATAAATGATTCTCCGGAACAACTATATATCTTATTTTACTAATTCCACACTTTGGTACACACCAACCGTATGAGTCATTGATTATGGCTGAGACAGTTTTAATACTGGCTTTGACCCAAGACAAAAATTGACTCTATAAATTCTAATTTGGAGGAGCAAATTAAGGTTATACCAAATGGGTAAACCAAGACAACAAATTCTGAGTTTTGAATTTGCCAAGTTATCTCCTTTATAAGAGAATGGAGTGGTGAGTGATCCTTCACAATCAAGCACTTTGAAGATTCGTAGCGTGTTCCTTTGGTTTTGCGTTTGGTTTCTTATGAAAGCCAAGTTATTCCCTCCTCTTATTCTTCTTCGCCCAAGGAACACATTGGTTCAATGGAGAACAACATGTCTTCTTCTAGTTCATGGAGTCCAGATAGCTCTATCAGTCTCCACCAATCTCTTTGGCTTCAGACAACTTTATCAGGTGAGTCTTCTCTTCCCCTTCTTTCCTGAAGCGTTCGTTTGTTTAGAGAAAGGTTGAATCGACACCATGAAGCCTGCCCCCCTGCTGGTTTGCTTGCATTCATCCACATTTCGTTAATTTGTTTGTCTTCTGCCCGCATGAAAATGGAAACTTGAAAACAATGAATTAGGATTGATGTTTAATTTACATTAAAAAGCATCAAGGTTGCATCTATCATCAGAAACCGGCAGAATGAGATACAAAGAAAAAGGGGTTGGTAAAAGAGACAGGATTCATATTCTGGTAACTTGCGTTTTCCAACATTTAGCTCTTTGATTATGAGCTTGGAATTTTTCTATATTTGCAGAAATGGACAAGAAGATGAAGGCCATGCTGACGCTTTTGGAAGAAGATAATTCTTCATCCAAAATAGTTGAGATTCAGTGCACAAGAAAATCAGAACTCATACGAATGCTTGAAGATTTCAACAGGTCTTACCGTTCACTGGCAGAACAGCATGATCAGTTGAGGTGTAAATCACATTATGTCCTTCGTTCAGGGTCTTCATCTTCATCTTCTAACTCCAGAAAAATCAGACAAATCAGTGACAACCAGAAAAGAGTGGCAGAAAGCTTCAATGATCCTAAACTGGCAGCATTTGATTCCCACTCTGATTCTATTATCGGAGATCCAGATGCTGAATGTGATATTGCTAATTTTGATTTTGACATTGAATACCTGAACAGGCTAGCAGACGAATTGTTGTCAACTGAACAACGCAAGATGAATCTGGAAACAAAAATTATATTTGAAGACAAAGAAATGGATCAAGAAACCACAGAGTCCTCCAACAAAGAAGAGATCAAGATGAATGCCTCTGAATTGGGTCGAGCTACAACTAGAGATTTTGCAACGGATATTTATAGATGGGAGAATACATGGCCTGAGATAAAAATTCAAGTCACAAAGCTAATGGTGGAGAATCTGCAGCAGAAGGCTGAGTTGCTAAAAAGAAATCAACAAAAGAGAAAAACCATTAATCGGCTCAGGGAAGAAATTGAACGTTTAAAGAACGAGAACCGGACCCTCCAGAATTATACCAAGTTCTCAAAAGTTGAATTGAAGCGTAGCCAATCACAGATGTCAAGATTAAGTGAATCAATTTTCAGTAAGTTTTTCAAGGTAGGTTGCTCATGATTTGGCAATCTTCACTTTTATGAATTAATAATTGAGAAGAGCAAGCCCCATCTCAAAAGATTTGTAGTCCGAACAAGTTCTTCTGAGAAAGATCTTCATGAAACTATGCATCATCAATTGGCAATGAAACCATGGTTTTCCATAGTTTTTAATCACAATCATCTATTTGTAGTAAGGCTGCATCACAATGTATAATAATACAGGTGTGAATTTTACTTTGTAATTTTCATTTATTAACCAAGTTTTCAGAGCGACTGGAATGCTGTAAGCAGATTGCGTTGCTGTTTGCTAATTTCATACCTGCCTGACCTCTACCCTTATTCTTCAGTGATAACTGTTTCATAAAAAAGCATTCAGTACCTTCTATGAAACCAATCCATTCAAATCAAAGCGTTTCACATATCAACACTAAGAGGAGAGTATGAATCTTTCTCTTCGAGATTCAAAATTGCTCTGGTTTTTCACACTTCACAATCAAATCATGATGATATCTTTTATTAAATACACCTCAAAATTGTGCACAGTCAAAATTTGCTTCATTTTCTAACCAAGATTATAGCGATCGAGTAAGAAGTCCACCTTGTAATTCAAAATTCTGATTAACAAATTCTCAACAGGCATAGAGAAATCACCAGTAATCGCCACAGGAGCACAGACCATCCTTGAAATAATGAAATCGCTTTGAATCTCTTACAACAATTTCACGATTAGCAATTTTGGAGATCAATTTAATTACAATATGGCAGTCCCCACAAACCCTAAGATTCTTAATTATCTGAATTGTACTACCTGGGACTGAGTTCATGATTGCAAAAGCAGTGGCCAGCTTTTCACTATGAACTCGCAATGTCATTTTCTTTTCTTCCTCATCGACATCATGAAGCACCGACGCCATATCGGGTACATAGCCAACTTCTTCCAGCTTCACATTTAGTTCCTCCAAATACTTATAGATCTTCTCATGTTGAGGATGCTCTGTATCTCCAACCAAGAATACATGAACCTTACCTCTCAGTTCAACTAAACTGAATCCAGGAGGTTTAGTCAGTTGACGATTCTTCATATGTACTCTAGTCTTTTCAGCATCTTCCCACCTTCCAGCATCAGCATATATGTTGGAAAGTAAGACATGGTACCCACAATTATTTGGGTCTAATTCAAATAATTTCCTTGCAGCAATCTCCCCAAGCTCCACATTCTTATGAGTTCTACAAGCCCCAAGAAGCGAACCCCAGACTACAAAATCAGGCTTCACCTTCATCCTTCTAATCAAATCATAAGCCTCCTTGAGATGACCAGCTCGTCCAAGAAGATCAACCATACAGCCGTAGTGCTCAACACCAGGCTCTACATTAAATTCACAGCTCATCGTATTAAACCAATGCCAACCTTCTTGTACTAGACCAGCATGGCTGCAAGCTGCTAAAACTGACACAAAAGTAATATAGTTTGGTCTGACCCCAACTCTTATCATCTCATAAAACACTTCTAGAGCTTCTTTGCCACGGCAATGCATTCCATAACCAGCAATCATGGCTGTCCACGACTTGACATTCTTCTCCCTCATGCGATTAAATGCATTCCTTGCCAATTCCACTCTCCCACATTTGCAATACATGTCAATGATAGAAGTACCCACAATTACACTCTCCTCTGAACCCATCTTTATAACCTTCATAAGCAAAATAAATGGAGAAATCAATAATTTATACCAAACAAAATAATTTCTATAACAAAAATAAAGTATAGCATTCATTCACAAGTACCTGATCATGTACACATTTGCCCATACGCAAAACTCCTATATGTGAAATGGCTAATAAAACAGCAGACAATGTCCAAGCATTGAATTTGACATCACAATTCTTTAACATTTCATTAAAAACATCCAGAGCCTCTATGGCCAATCCATTTTGTGCAAAATTAGCAATAATTGAATTCCAAGAAATCGCATCCTTCCCAACCATTCCGTCAAAAACTTTCCTAGAGACATCTACATAACCACACTTCGCATACGCATCCATTAAAGTATTGCCAACACCCACATCACTATCAAACCCTCTCTTTGTCACAAATCCATGAACCCCTTCCGTCACTCGTTTATTAGCAACACGAGAACAAGCTGATAAAACAGAAACCATAGCAACCGAATCAATTAAAACATTCTCATTCTTTTCAGTTTCACTCTCCTCAATTAAAAACTCCTTAAAAAGTAATATAGCTTCACGGGCATAGTCGTTTTGGACGTACCCAGTTAACATGGACGTCCAAGACACAATATTTCTCCGAGGAATTTCATCGAACAGTTTCCTCGCGTCACTCAATTCACCGCATTTCGAATACATATCAATCAGAGCGGAGGACACAAAAAGGTCTTCTTCAAAGCCAAAGACAAGTGCTTGTTGGTGGGCTTGTTTGCCCGAGAAAAGGTCGAGCAAAGCAGAGCAGGATTTGATAGTACATGGGAAAGTAGAGCGAGTCGGTGAAAGAGAAAGTTTCCGCATTGAAGAGAAAGCACGAAGAGCTTCCACAAAGTCGCCGCTCCGAGCCAAGTCGGCAATGATCGAGTTCCAGGAGGAGACATCGGCTTTGTCGATGTATTTGTTGAACCAGGTTGTGAGGTTTGGGTGGGATGAATAGCGGCGGCCGTAGAGTTTGTAAGAGACTCCCGCTAAAACTGAAATAGAATTCATCCATTCTTTTGAAAAACTTCGTCTCGCAGCCACATTACATATATAATGTTATTTTTAATATTACTTAGGAAAATGTTAAACTTTTCATAAGTCAAGTAACTTAGGAAAATTAAATCAAACTTAAACAAAACTACTTAACTAAAATATTTTAATTTTGCTACCAAGTTGGCTGTTACCAACACAAGATAAAACACACCTATTAGGCGTAATGTGAATTACGGAGAAGTGAGTTGAGGAGGATGACGAAAGCGAATTGAATTCTCCTCTTTTGCAATTGCGTTGGATTTATGTTGTATAATTTCCTTTAATTATTTATTTATTTTACACTTTCCTTCCTTGTTAAGTTAAAATCATTCTGGAACTAAATTTAACCTTATCATGTTTTTCTTCCCAACAACTGAAAACCAAAGCAATGGGGGACAATAATCCTTATGCAATTATCAAGTTACAAGATCTTCAAACACAGTTCAGTTATAATTTAGAAACCGAGTGCTCAAAAGAGAAACTGAACATATAACAGATAAAATCCACAGTCTCACTCCAAATATGACAGCGTTGCCATCAAACTTAGCTGAACTGGAGGAACTCCTTCCTATAAATTCGCCTGAGCTGGGAATTGGTGCAGATGCCTCTGACTTTGGAGAAGCTGCAGAACTTGAAGAAGGGAAGAAGGAAGACATATTTGGTGCAGTAACATAAGGCAAAACCCCTGGAGAAGCTGAAATCAATGGCTGGCCAGTTGAACATCGGAAATGCAGATCAACAAAGATGGTAACTGTGAACAGAATAGCAGATAACCGAGGGAGAGTACCCATGGATATTCAGAGAATTTTATTGGATCCAGGATATATATATATATATATATAGGGATGGAATTGATAAAGGATAAGGAGTGGTATTGAGTTTTTTTATTGTTTGTTGAATATCACGGGAGAGACAGTAGCAGTTTTACTCCTGCCCGGCTCTTATGCCATATTTATTAAGATCTTTTAATTCACTTGATTGGTCTCGTGTTGTCAGAGGACAAAAGACCATCCTTGAAATAATGAAATCGCTTTGAATCTCTTAACACAATTTCACGATTAGCAATTTTGGAGATCAATTTAATTACAATATGGCAGTCCCCACAAACCCTAAGATTCTAATTATCTGAATTGTACTACCTGGGACTGAGTTCATGATTGCAAAAGCATGGCCAGCTTTTCACTATGAACTCGCAATGTCATTTTCTTTCTTCCTCATCGACATCATGAAGCACCGACGCCATATCGGGTACATGGCCAACTTCTTCAGCTTCACATTTAGTTCCTCCAATACTTATAGATCTTCTCATGTTGAGGATGCTCTGATCTCAACCAAGAATACATGAACCTTACCTCTCAGTTCAACTAACTGAATCCAGGAGGTTTAGTCAGTTGACGATTCTTCATATGTACTCTAGTCTTTTCAGCATCTTCCCACCTTCCAGCATCAGCATATATGTTGGAAAGAAGACATGGTACCACAATTATTTGGGTCTAATTCAAATAATTTCCTTGCGCCAATCTCCCCAAGCTCCACATTCTTATGAGTTCTACAAGCCCAAGAAGTATGTATGATCAAAATCTAAAATAGATAAGATTCTGAATTCAAATTTAGTGGGATTTTTATGCCTTACCATCAACCGAATTTTGCAAATACATTAAAATATAGTGTATCATACAAAAGATTACGTTACGCACAAAGCCAATATAACATAAAAAATAAAACTAAACTAATATGATTGGATTATGATGCAGTAAGTGTCTAAATATAAATGATTCTCCGGAACAACCATATATCTTATTTTACTAATTCCACACTTTGGTACACACCAACCATATGAGTCATTGATTATGGCTGAGACAGTTTTAATACTGGCTTTGACCCAAGACAAAAATTGACTCTATAAATTCTAATTTGGAGGAGCAAATTAAGGTTATACAAAATGGGTAAACCAAGACAACAAATTCTGAGTTTTGAATTTGCCAAGTTATCTCCTTTATAAGAGAATGGAGTGGTAAGCAATCCTTCACAATCAAGCACTTTGAAGATTCGTAACGTGTTCCTTTGGTTTTGCGTTTGGTTTCTTATGAAAGCCAAGTTATTCCCTCCTCTTATTCTTCTTCGCCCAAGGAACACATTGGTTCAATGGAGAACAACATGTCTTCTTCTAGTTCATGGAGTCCAGATAGCTCTATCAGTCTCCACCAATCTCTTTGGCTTCAGACAACTTTATCAGGTGAGTCTTCTCTTCCCCTTCTTTCCTGAAGCGTTCGTTTGTTTAGAGAAAGGTTGAATCGACACCATGAAGCCTGCCCCCCTGCTGGTTTGCTTGCATTCATCCACATTTCGTTAATTTGTTTGTCTTCTGCCCGCATGAAAATGGAAACTTGAAAACAATGAATTAGGATTGATGTTTAATTTACATTAAAAAGCATCAAGGTTGCATCTATCATCAGAAACCGGCAGAATGAGATACAAAGAAAAAGGGGTTGGTAAAAGAGACAGGATTCATATTCTGGTAACTTGCGTTTTCCAACATTTAGCTCTTTGATTATGAGCTTGGAATTTTTCTATATTTGCAGAAATGGACAAGAAGATGAAGGCCATGCTGACGCTTTTGGAAGAAGATAATTCTTCATCCAAAATAGTTGAGATTCAGTGCACAAGAAAATCAGAACTCATACGAATGCTTGAAGATTTCAACAGGTCTTACCGTTCACTGGCAGAACAGCATGATCAGTTGAGGTGTAAATCACATTATGTCCTTCGTTCAGGGTCTTCATCTTCATCTTCTAACTCCAGAAAAATCAGACAAATCAGTGACAACCAGAAAAGAGTGGCAGAAAGCTTCAATGATCCTAAACTGGCAGCATTTGATTCCCACTCTGATTCTATTATCGGAGATCCAGATGCTGAATGTGATATTGCTAATTTTGATTTTGACATTGAATACCTGAACAGGCTAGCAGACGAATTGTTGTCAACTGAACAACGCAAGATGAATCTGGAAACAAAAATTATATTTGAAGACAAAGAAATGGATCAAGAAACCACAGAGTCCTCCAACAAAGAAGAGATCAAGATGAATGCCTCTGAATTGGGTCGAGCTACAACTAGAGATTTTGCAACGGATATTTATAGATGGGAGAATACATGGCCTGAGATAAAAATTCAAGTCACAAAGCTAATGGTGGAGAATCTGCAGCAGAAGGCTGAGTTGCTAAAAAGAAATCAACAAAAGAGAAAAACCATTAATCGGCTCAGGGAAGAAATTGAACGTTTAAAGAACGAGAACCGGACCCTCCAGAATTATACCAAGTTCTCAAAAGTTGAATTGAAGCGTAGCCAATCACAGATGTCAAGATTAAGTGAATCAATTTTCAGTAAGTTTTTCAAGGTAGGTTGCTCATGATTTGGCAATCTTCACTTTTATGAATTAATAATTGAGAAGAGCAAGCCCCATCTCAAAAGATTTGTAGTCCGAACAAGTTCTTCTGAGAAAGATCTTCATGAAACTATGCATCATCAATTGGCAATGAAACCATGGTTTTCCATAGTTTTTAATCACAATCATCTATTTGTAGTAAGGCTGCATCACACTGTATAATAATACAGGTGTGAATTTTACTTTGTAATTTTCATTTATTAACCAAGTTTTCAGAGCGACTGGAATGCTGTAAGCAGATTGCGTTGCTGTTTGCTAATTTCATACCTGCCTGACCTCTACCCTTATTCTTCAGTGATAACTGTTTCATAAAAAAGCATTCAGTACCTTCTATGAAACCAATCCATTCAAATCAAAGCGTTTCACATATCAACACTAAGAGGAGAGTATGAATCTTTCTCTTCGAGATTCAAAATTGCTCTGGTTTTTCACACTTCACAATCAAATCATGATGATATCTTTTATTAAATACACCTCAAAATTGTGCACAGTCAAAATTTGCTTCATTTTCTAACCAAGATTATAGCGATCGAGTAAGAAGTCCACCTTGTAATTCAAAATTCTGATTAACAAATTCTCAACAGGCATAGAGAAATCACCAGTAATCGCCACAGGAGCACAGACCATCCTTGAAATAATGAAATCGCTTTGAATCTCTTACAACAATTTCACGATTAGCAATTTTGGAGATCAATTTAATTACAATATGGCAGTCCCCACAAACCCTAAGATTCTTAATTATCTGAATTGTACTACCTGGGACTGAGTTCATGATTGCAAAAGCAGTGGCCAGCTTTTCACTATGAACTCGCAATGTCATTTTCTTTTCTTCCTCATCGACATCATGAAGCACCGACGCCATATCGGGTACATAGCCAACTTCTTCCAGCTTCACATTTAGTTCCTCCAAATACTTATAGATCTTCTCATGTTGAGGATGCTCTGTATCTCCAACCAAGAATACATGAACCTTACCTCTCAGTTCAACTAAACTGAATCCAGGAGGTTTAGTCAGTTGACGATTCTTCATATGTACTCTAGTCTTTTCAGCATCTTCCCACCTTCCAGCATCAGCATATATGTTGGAAAGTAAGACATGGTACCCACAATTATTTGGGTCTAATTCAAATAATTTCCTTGCAGCAATCTCCCCAAGCTCCACATTCTTATGAGTTCTACAAGCCCCAAGAAGTGAACCCCAGACTACAAAATCAGGCTTCACCTTCATCCTTCTAATCAAATCGTAAGCCTCCTTGAGATGACCAGCTCGTCCAAGAAGATCAACCATACAGCCATAGTGCTCAACACTAGGCTCTACATTAAATTCACAGCTCATCGTATTAAACCAATGCCAACCTTCTTGTACTAGACCAGCATGGCTGCAAGCTGCTAAAACTGACACAAAAGTAATATAGTTTGGTCTAACCCCAACTCCTATCATCTCATAAAACACTTCTAGAGCTTCTTTGCCACGGCAATGCATTCCATAACCAGCAATCATGGCTGTCCATGACTTGACATTCTTCTCCCTCATGCGATTAAATGCATTCCTTGCCAATTCCACTCTCCCACATTTGCAATACATGTCAATGATAGAAGTACCCACAATTACACTCTCCTCTAAACCCATCTTTATAACCTTCATAAGCAAAATAAATGGAGAAATCAATAATTATACCAAACAAAATAATTTCTATAACAAAAATAAAGTATAGCATTCATTCACAAGTACCTGATCATGTACACATTTGCCCATACGCAAAACTCCTATATGTGAAATGGCTAATAAAACAGCAGACAATGTCCAAGCATTGAATTTGACATCACAATTCTTTAACATTTCATTAAAAACATCCAGAGCCTCTATGGCCAATCCATTTTGTGCAAAATTAGCAATAACTGAATTCCAAGAAATCGCATCCTTCCCAACCATTCCGTCAAAAACTTTCCTAGAGACATCTACATAACCACACTTCGCATACGCATCCATTAAAGTATTGCCAACACCCACATCACTATCAAACCCTCTCTTTGTCACAAATCCATGAACCCCTTCCGTCACTCGTTTATTAGCAACACGAGAACAAGCTGATAAAACAGAAACCATAGCAACCGAATCAATTAAAACATTCTCATTCTTTTCAGTTTCACTCTCCTCAATTAAAAACTCCTTAAAAAGTAATATAGCTTCACGGGCATAGTCGTTTTGGACGTACCCAGTTAACATGGACGTCCAAGACACAATATTTCTCCGAGGAATTTCATCGAACAGTTTCCTCGCGTCACTCAATTCACCGCATTTCGAATACATATCAATCAGAGCGGAGGACACAAAAAGGTCTTCTTCAAAGCCAAAGACAAGTGCTTGTTGGTGGGCTTGTTTGCCCGAGAAAAGGTCGAGCAAAGCAGAGCAGGATTTGATAGTACATGGGAAAGTAGAGCGAGTCGGTGAAAGAGAAAGTTTCCGCATTGAAGAGAAAGCACGAAGAGCTTCCACAAAGTCGCCGCTCCGAGCCAAGTCGGCAATGATCGAGTTCCAGGAGGAGACATCGGCTTTGTCGATGTATTTGTTGAACCAGGTTGTGAGGTTTGGGTGGGATGAATAGCGGCGGCCGTAGAGTTTGTAAGAGACTCCCGCTAAAACTGAAATAGAATTCATCCATTCTTTTGAAAAACTTCGTCTCGCAGCCACATTACATATATAATGTTATTTTTAATATTACTTAGGAAAATGTTAAACTTTTCATAAGTCAAGTAACTTAGGAAAATTAAATCAAACTTAAACAAAACTACTTAACTAAAATATTTTAATTTTGCTACCAAGTTGGCTGTTACCAACACAAGATAAAACACACCTATTAGGCGTAATGTGAATTACGGAGAAGTGAGTTGAGGAGGATGACGAAAGCGAATTGAATTCTCCTCTTTTGCAATTGCGTTGGATTTATGTTGTATAATTTCCTTTAATTATTTATTTATTTTACACTTTCCTTCCTTGTTAAGTTAAAATCATTCTGGAACTAAATTTAACCTTATCATGTTTTTCTTCCCAACAACTGAAAACCAAAGCAATGGGGGACAATAATCCTTATGCAATTATCAAGTTACAAGATCTTCAAACACAGTTCAGTTATAATTTAGAAATCGAGTGCTCAAAAGAGAAACTGAACATATAACAGATAAAATCCAGAGTCTCACTCCAAATATGACAGCGTTGCCATCAAACTTAGCTGAACTGGAGGAACTCCTTCCTATAAATTCGCCTGAGCTGGGAATTGGTGCAGATGCCTCTGACTTTGGAGAAGCTGCAGAACTTGAAGAAGGGAAGAAGGAAGACATATTTGGTGCAGTAACATAAGGCAAAAGCCCTGGAGAAGCTGAAATCAATGGCTGGCCAGTTGAACATCGGAAATGCAGATCAACAAAGAAGGTAACTGTGAACAGAATAGCAGATAACCGAGGGAGAGTACCCATGGATATTCAGAGAATTTTATTGGATCCAGGATATATATATATATATATAGGGATGGAATTGATAAAGGATAAGGAGTGGCATTGAGTTTTTTTATTGTTTGTTGAATATCACGGGAGAGACAGTAGCAGTTTTACTCCTGCCCGGCTCTTATGCCATATTTATTAAGATCTTTTAATTCACTTGATTGGTCTCGCGTTGTCACAGGACAAAAGATTCTTTTCTATGTGACTATATGAGCAACGTATTGAAGGACTTTTAGATGTATTATTTAAGAGATTTTAAGTTTAAGTATCTCTTTAATTATTAATCGGAGTAGACATTAAAACTCTTACCAGCTGATATTTTTAAGATTTCAAATATATGTAAATTCATCAGTGTATCCATATAATGTTATAAATATTATATGTACGTGGGTTTTCACATGCAAAAGCTTTTTGTTTTTGTTTTTTCACCAAGATTCCTTTTAGTTGTCCGTGTGACACGTCACCACTAAACTTCCTTCAATTCATGAAAGGTAAATTCCTTGCTCGTCGCATTCTCAGCTTCTATAGTTCTATTCCTGTTACCAGAGTTAAATTTACAAAGGGGCAAATTCTATGATATGATGAAATTAAACTCCTCTCCCCCTTTGTCCCTACCTTCCCCAGCTTGTGTCATATAAACTGTAAAATGTTTGGTTAAATTTATATGCAGAAGTTGGAGAAAAGAAACCTTAAGTTGGTGAGTACTGGGCCATCTAACCTTCTCAAACTACCTTTCAGTCCCATCTTTAGAATAAGAAAAATACAGTCTCCACATAGAAACATAGGCAATCCCAAGCACAGAATTTTTTACCATATAATCTGTAGTATTTAGCAGTTTCCAGAACAGGAAGGAAAGCGTTGTAAAGATTCAGATACTAAATGGCAAGGATTAGAGCATGATACAAAAATTCCCATTTGATGAACCAAGAAAAAGGAACAGCTAATGGTAAGCCTCGCATTATGAATTTGACGGCACATGTAATAATACTGAAGAAAAATGATATCACTATTATGCTCTAAGCATAGCGATTTGATTTGTATAAATCACAAAGAAGTACAAGCTCATCATTTCGTTGAATTCAAAAACACGATTCCCGAATACAGGAAATACATAATGTTTCACTCAATTATAACAGCTGTAGTAAATACTACAATCAAAAGAATCACCAATACAAAGATCCAACTGCCAAATGAAACCTTTTTCTCTTTGGAGTTGGCCAATCTGGAAATAAATATATCAAAGACTACAACAACTAGAAGAAGTATCACCCATTCATGTGAAAACCTGTGAACTGAAGCATATGAATCTGATCCATCAATAATAGCAATGAAAGCTTCAAGCTAACAACAGTTTACTTTCCTGTGAGTATATTCCACAATAGTATACTAGAGTTCTTTTAATTAGAGAAGCCTCAAATGTGCAGTATCATTTAGCCTTTTTACCTGCCAACCGGTTCTCCATGAATGCTGTAATACTGTCACTGAAGAATCATCTATGCAGACTTTATGCGCCATTACTGGACTGCATCCAAGAAGGCCAGTGAGGAGACACTTAATCGGCACTGAATGAGTGAAAACACCAACACAAGACATCATAGAGGAGGAAGAGCTCCTGACATTTAAATCTTGGAGGTCATTCTGGTGGTTGGATTCTCGAGGGGAAATCTCATCATCAACCTCATGATCACCCGTAGTTGTCACATACTGTAGCCTGCTTTTCCCAGACTTCTTCCTTGAGAAACCTTGCCTATGCCTGTGCAGCAAATCCGGCGAAGGGAAAGACGACCCAGCTCTTTCACTAATTGACTGAGTTAAAGAATGTGAGTTGTGTGAAAACCCTTGGCTCTCATTCTGGTTATGAAACGAAAAATCCACCCTCACTTTTTCACCAAGTCCCAGGACTGTCTCATTCAAGAATTGAACCATCCGAAATTCTACCTGCCTCAGTGATTCTCCAGTAGGCGGAGAAAAATCCGGCTGGTATCTTTCTATTAAGTTCAAAATTTCAGGAGTATATGTTTCTGACATCAGGCATCCCTCCCAATGCCCCAAGCTCATCTCCACGATCGCATCGGACGATTGTATCTGCTCCTCTGCAAAACCCATTTCCTGCATGATTTTACCATATATATAGTTTGGTCAATCAACCATTTAACAAAATTTCTATGAGAACTTCTTTCACAGTCTAACCTACTTGTAGCTAGAAACCTTAAGCATACATATATTTAACTAAAGAAATTATCCACGAATTATTACGACTAAATTTAATTTACACAGATTACTTGAACAAATGCATCAAGAATTGAATGGAACCAAAGTAAATTAAATAAAAGAAAATTACCTGACAAACAGAGACAGCCATGGATCTAGCCCGATCCAAAGGCGAAGTATAAACGGCGTTAAACCTGACTCCTTGAGAATTCAACAACACAGCCAAAGCCCTAGCTTGCCGTTTCCCATTGGGCGTCAATTTAGCCACGTGGCATCTTCCTCCAACCAAATCCGGTCTCAAATTCAATTCACACTCTGCGTGATTAATCAGAAAGACCTCCATAACCGTCCGATCCTCGTCCACCGACAAACTCCTAGAGAATATCGGCAGCGGGGGCGGCGGCGGCGACAAAACATTGTACGGGTCCCACACTTTAATTGAAGGACCCAACCTCGGCGTGCCCAGCGAGGAAAGCTGCGGAGATAACGGAGATGCGGACGCGTGACAAGGTAACATTTCCGGTTCTTGTTCAAGAACCTTTTTGACTAAATGATTATCTAACAATTCTCTACGGTTAGGATTGTCATTATCGTCTTCTTCTTCGTCCTCCTCTTCTTCTTCTTCTTCGCTCTCTTCTTCGACGACTTGTACAGATTGACTGGATCCCATCTTCTTCTTTCTTAGTTACTACACGAACTGGAAGTGTAGAGATCTCTCTCACATAAGTTAGTGGTTAAAATTAGAAATGATGCAATGAGACATTGTACCTAAAAGTACAATAAATGGATTAGTAAAATAGAATGAATGAGATCTATGAAGGGTTAACAAATAACTTCATTGTGGTGTCCCTGACTACTCTTGAGTTTTCCCGTTCGGTTGGGGACGAATCTATCAGAGATAGGGGATTTGCTATACTCAAAATTCAATGGATATTTGGAAACGCTAGGCTGTCTCCTGTGGTATGAATATTTCGTGCAACTTACATTGGCAAATCGGATAGGGTACAGGTACACACCGTCACAGAAGCTTATTAACGTATGATTCAGTACACCTTGAAAATGTAATTAATAAAAGAATATCTGATATTAATAAATTAAAAAAATTGGCATATTAAGCTAATCATTGCAAGCATAAATAACTTGGTAGTTATTATTTCAGGTTTTAAAAGATTAGTTAGTGTAAGTTAGTCCGAATATTTTGGTCGAGAAAAAAAAAACAATTTATTTTATGGTAAAGAAAGAATTTCAAGTTGGTCCGTATGATTTGAGCACAATATTAATTAAAAACATTCATTTATAATACTTTTAATTTTTATTCCTACAATTAACAGGGTTGGGAAAATAGGTTAACTGTGTCTAAAGACAATGAACCTCTTGAAACTCGTCAGTGGCCTTGCTCCATAGCTGGAATCATTCCCTTGTTTCTTTAAATTTTTCTGTCACCTCAAGATCTTCTACTATTTCATGCACTTGTTTCAGCAATTTCTCAACCATTTCTGTCAGTTCAGAGTAGGCCAATTGCCTGAAAACAATCAGTTCATCAAATCTATTCAAGAACTCAGGCCTGAAATTCTTCCTCCACGATCAAATGTTGCCATTAGCATAAAAACCATTTGACATAATCTTCCCTTTTTCAAGGTAAGAAATCCCCTTTCAAGTTTTTCAACTTTTGGGCAGAGCTGATGACTTCTTCTGTCGTAGAGAGAGTATGGAGTGTGGAGGTGGAGGGTAACCCCATGTACAGGCTGGTCTCTAAGCTAAAAGCGTTGAAGGTTGAGCTTAAGGGACTAAATAGAAAGGAGTTTTGGAACATTTCAGAAAGAGTGAAATTTGCAAGAAATGATCTGGCCTAAGGCCCTAGAAAGGTTGTTGTGGATCCGGTGATAGTGCTCTTTGCAAGAGGAGAAACTTAAGTGGAAAAGATGGTCAGCTTTCAAAAGCCGAAGAATAATTAGCTAAGCAAAAGTCTAGGGTTAAATGGTTACGGAAAGGGGATGCTAACACTTTACTTCTTTAAATCGATTGCTGGATGGAGGAATAGAAATAAGATTGTGTCCTTGGAAATTGGGGAAGAACGGTTACTAGTGATCAAGATAGAACAAAGAGGAGTTTGTGTCTTTCTACTCAAATCTTTTGAAGATAAGTGTGCGGGTGTTTCCATGAGGGCATGGAGGAACTTATCACCCCTGTTATTTTGGAGGAGGAGACCAACTCCATGATTAGTGAGGTTTCCAAAGAAGGATTCAAGAGACCATGGTTGATGAGTAAGACAAAGCAGGGGCCAGATGGTTATGGAGCTTTTTCTTTAAAAAGCTTGGGATATTGTAGGTCATGATGTTGTTAAAGCAATCCAAAATTTCTTCAAGTCGGGAAATGCTTAGAGAGGTGAATTGTGCCATTATTGCGTTAGTCCCAAAGAATGAAAACCCTTATCTTGTAGTGAGTTTCGACCATTCATGTTGTAACACCATCTACAAATGCATCTCAAGATATGGCCAATAGAGTAAAAGAGTTTTGCCTCAGTTGTCAACAAAGCCCAAGGTGCTTTCGGGGGGAGGGGGGGGGAGAGGAAAATTGTGGATAATATCTTTTGAGCCAAGAACTTCTCCACCACTATGACAAGAAGTCGGCCAAAAGGACTAGATGTGCAATGAAGGTGACCTTATGAAGCTTATGATTCTGTAAGATGGGATTTCATTATTAAAGCTCTAGAGCTTCTCAAGTTTCCTTGAAGTTTATTGGGTGGGTAGAGGAGTGAATCAAAACTCCTAAATACTCTGTAGTCGTTAATGGGGAATTATTGGATCTTTAGCGGTTCTAGAGGGCTTAGGCAAGGGACCCTATTCTCCTATCTCTTTGTGATTGCCATGGAGGTTCTATCAGACTTCTAAATAGAGCAACGAGGGAACCTTCTTTTAAGCACCATTGGAGTTACAAAGAGTTAAACCTAACCCATCTTTGTTTTGCAGATGATTAATGATTTGCCACGCGGATGAAAACTCTCTTGGCATTGTCAAGAGAGCATTGGATCGTTTCACGTTTGGGCGGGGGTAGAAGCAAACCCTCAAAAAGCAACATTTTCTTTCTCGGGGTGAGTGAGGAGGGCAAACAAGCCCTTTGCCGATTCTTGGGTATCAAGAAGGAAAGCTTCCAATGAAGTATTTGGGTGTCCCTTATAACCAAAAAGCTTTCCCCTTCTAATTGCAAACTTTTGGTGGACAAAATCTTGGCTCGCATTAATCTTGGTGGAGCAAATCCTCTCTATGCTGGTGGGTAATTCTCATTAAAGCCATTCTTTTTAGCATTCAAGTCCATGGTCATCTATTTTCGTGCTCCCTTCAAAGATACTCAATGAAATTGATGCTAAGTTAAGGGCTTTCCTATGGTCTGGGAGTGACATGAAAACTCAAAGGCCAAAGTTGCATGGGAAGAGGTTTGGTCCCTATTGAGAAGGGGGGTTGGGAATTATGAGAGAGAAGATTGGAATAAGGCAGCCATGATGAGACATGTTTGGAATCTTAATCAAGTACATAGTGGCTTTGGATGGGTTGAGTGGATCAAAGCAACGTACTTGGTGAGGAAGAGCTTTTGGGAGATTCCTATACCTTCGGATGCTTCTTAGGCTTGGAGGAGTATTTTGAAGCTTAGAATGGAAGCTAGAGAGCACATCAAAACCACTCGGAAATGGTCAAGCAACTTATGTTTGGCTGATAATTGGACCTAAGAGGCCCTCTTAAGGATAGATATGGCAGTCGCATTGGTATGATTCGGGGGTACATTATCTTGCTAAGGTGTGTGAGATTTGGGATGGGACAGGTGGAGAGGCCAACGGCAATCTTGGGCTTTGATGGACATGAAGGATTCTATCAACTTTGATCCAAAGGAGGGCGAGGATGTGGTAGTTTGGAGCTGAATGCATCTGGTAAGTTTCTCATTAAATGTTGGGAGGTGTGCACCAAACAAAGTGGAGTGGCATCACCTTGTATGGTTTCCAAAAGCTATTCCACGACACTCCATGTCACGTGGATGGCATGTAAGGATCGGCTTCAGATCAAGGACAAACTGATGAGGTATGGAATAGCTTCTAGTAATGCGGTGTTTTTTTGTAATCATGGCAAGAAACAATCGATCATCTCTTTTTTGCTTGTCCTTTCACCCTAAGGATTTGGAACCCAATCCTTGAGCTCTCTTCTCTGGGTATGTCACCCGACCTTGGAAAAGATTATGTTAGCACATAGCTAGTAGGTGGAGGAAGAAAAAGCTAAAGTACTCTTTAGGGAAGCTAAGTTGGGAGCCACTATTTACTCATTTGGAGAGAGAGGAATAGAGGGATTTTTGGTGGGGAATGCAAGGATGCCCATACTCTCTATAACTCCATCAAGAATGTGGTGAGGGAGAGGGCTATGGACCTTAGCAAGATCAAAGGAATACCTACAATAGAAGACTTGTCGAGAAATGGGGTCTCCCCATGTCTATTTTAAAACATCCCATGGAGGTAATTATATGGTTTGTATTTATGTGATGGGTTTTTTGTCGTGAAATGGATTTGGTTTTATGATATCTCGGCGGTGGATTGTGTAGAAGAGGCTACTTTGACAATTGGAGCTTGGGTGTTGATTAGCGCTTAGTTTGTGTCATTAACGGGCCCACCTTGTTAATGTCTATGGTTATGGAATTGCTCTTGATAATGCTTGCGTATGGGTTTTGTGCTCTGATACTTTTGAACTAACCCAAGGCATGTCCTATGGTAGGTGGGATTCATTGTATTCTTAATCTCTGCTTAGTTCCATCCTTTGACAAGCGGAATGGGAAAAAAAGAAGATTAGGGGTAGACTTGATAGTATCATTCATTTGCTCCTTACTAGGGTATGTCCTGAGGTAGATTGGCTGACTCTTAGGCCTTTTGTACATTCTTTTCCCTTTCTATAAAAGCTTACTTACCAAAACAAAAAAAAAAAAAAAAAAAAAACTACTCCACTAATATTTCTTCGCCAATGTGTCTCCACCAGCCTTAATTGCCCTTCTTATGGCCTTGCTCATAGGCAGGATCATTCCCTGTCTTGCAATCTTCCATGAATTTTTCTGTCACTTCAAGATTTATTTTTATTGATTTTGCCCTTGATAAACTCCGTTCAACATTATCTCAACAATTTCTTTTAGCTCTGGCAAGTCAATGCCTAAAAACAATCCGTTCATCAAATCTATTCAGAACTCAGGCTTGAATTCTTTTTCAACTCTTCTGTAACTTCATCTTCACCTCATCATACCCCATATGGCTTTCATTAGCAATTATATCAGAACCAACATTTGAAGTCATATTATGAAAGTGTGGTTGAGCTCACAGTCTTCCTTGTTATCTGAAATGACCATCATCCAAAACCTGAAGCATAACATTCACACATTAGGATGAACCTTTCCATCTCATCAAGGGAACCACACTGTGAGGGTCTTATATACAGCTTCAGTCAGTTGACCACCGTCTTCGTAGCCCCTATAGCCGGAGGCGAGCCCAAGATCTTTGAAATGTATTCTCTCCATATATTCACTCATGTCTTCCTGATTAGGTGTTTTAACCTAAAATATTCAACTGCCAAGGCTTTTGCAAGTTCTGTTTTTCCAACGCCAGTTAGAACCAGCAAATAAAAAGCTTGATAAAGGTTGGCTCGGGTCTCTACTTCCCACTTTAGCTTTACGCACGGCCGGCTGACGGCCTAACAGTTTGGCTGCCCAATTATATGCTCTGCAGAGAGCCTTTTCCATTCCCAAAAGTCGCTGAGATTTGCAACTGAAAGTTCTCCATGTTAATTCCGATAATGGATTTTTGGTGGGTGAATTTTCGCGTGCGTAAAAGCGTAATATACAAGTAAAATATTAGGATGAAACCTATTAAACTTTTTATAAAGAGTTCCAGCAAGGGTAGATTCCGATA